AATCATAACAGAATGGCAGGTGGACCCAGGAGATGTGCGCCTACTGCAAGTACGAGGGACATTGGAAGTATGACTGTCCCAGATTACAGGTAAACAGGAGACAATATTATGACAGGAGACAAGGAAGGTCAGTGGCACCTCATTATGATTCATGCAGAGGGTACAGGAAGGAATACAGGCAGAGTACACGGAATCCAGAACCTAGGAAGGAGGAACGGAAACAGATGATGGCTCAGAGCAGACACTCAGATGCAGAGAGGAAGGAATACAGCAGGATGCCAGAAATCAAGAGACGACTACTGAGGAAAAGAGACAAATTATGGTATATACCAGAGATTCAGATGAAGAATAGGGGAACCCAGAGGTTCCACTAGATCCAAAATGGTCCATTGAAATACCCTTCTTGTGAACTTGTTAAAAAGACCTGAAATGGGCCCTCCCTGGTGGCGCAGCGGGTTAAAGCACAGCACTGAGAATCTAAAGCCGCTTCCGCATGAGTTCGATTCCCGCCTGTCCCGGAGGTGACCACATGGCGCGGCAGACCTCTCCTGGCCCGCCCACAGCTCCCCTCAGCAGTGTACTTCGTGGATCTGCCTGTTCTGCTCTCCGCTCTGTCTCTGGTGAAGCCTCTCACCGCCCCTGAGCCTCTAGCTTGTACCCCAATTCTGTATGCACAAATAAATAAATCTTTAAAAAAAAAAAAGACCTGAAATATTTATTTCAGAAAAAGAAAAAAACTTAAATGGTAGAACATCTTTTCCAGAAATGTAGCAGTATACTTCAAAATACACTGTCTGAAGGACCCTGAGATGACAGATATGCTCTAACTATTCTTTTTCCTTTGGAAACATGTAGGAATATTACTATGACATCATGTAATTATGTTAGCAGTATTTTAAAAAAATGATTTTACTACATAATAAGGCCTTCAGTCTTGTTCTTGATTTTTTTTTGTAAATTTTTCTCCTATTTCTTTTTGTTTGTTTTTTAAATTACTTTTGGCTTATATTAGTAAAACTTAAGTTAAATATGATTCCATGTGGCATAACTAAGAATACTGTCTGTGTCTATATGTTGAATGTCTGTATGTCTTTTACTTGTGTTTAATTGTCTTGACCTCAAGGTGTTCTAAATTAGTTTGGATGGTGCCTATTGCTATTGTAAACAAACAAATGAAATTTTAATCTTTATGGTAACTAATTTTAAAAAATGACGAAACAGGTATTGATATGTATGTTTGTGTGTGTGTGTGTGTGTGTGTGTGTGTATATTTGTCTTATTTGAGGTTCATAATGTCAGGCAAATTGAAATTTTGAAGTTTGTAATAACTAAGGTTTTGGGAAAAAAAAGAATCTCTAGTTATAAAATAAGGAAAACAGGGAGACTATATGGCTATGGTTTGAATGTCAACAATTGTCTTACTGCACTGAGCCAGAGCCTTCACGAAATTGGGATTATCTTTGCTGTTATTTTTTTTTCTTTTTCATATTTGTGACAAAGCTTCCCCAAATTCAAAGTTGAATTGAAATTTGGTAGTTTGTCATTTGGTTCATTGAAGGAAGTTTTGTGGAACCTCAGTAGAGCTCCTGAGACACTCCACAAAATTTCTCCTTTTCCCCATGGGAAAAACATTCAGATCAATTTGTCTAATTTGGTATACATACTACAGTAAAATTGGGAAGAAGCATTGTCACTTGGAAAAAGCTAAACCTTGCATACGAACACAACTGTTTGCCTTGTTTTTCTAAAACATGTAAAAAAAAAGGTATTTTTTGATATGTATGTAAATTGAGACTGTTGATCATTATCTTGTCGTATTAGTCTGGTATTTGCAGAAATTGTTTCTGAAAAGTTTTTGATATGTATGTAAATTTTGAATGTTGATCATTGTTTTGCCATACTATATTCGATAGTGTAGTGTTTGCACAAATTGTTTCTGAAGAAATTCCATACACTGTTATTTGCAGAAATTGTTTAAGGAAAGCAAAAACTTTGCTTCCAGTAATAGCTCTCAACAGATTCTAGTTGATTGAACTTTTGATATTGGCAGATATCTTCCACAAGAACCAAATACAGTGATTCTACTAAGTATTGTTAGAAATACTAATGACATTTTTGTTTATTTAATTCAGACCGTTTTTTTGCTTTGAATGCCCAAAAATCTACAATAATATTCCTTTTTTTTTCAACAGAGCTAATTTTTGTTTCTATTTCTTCTCTCCCCTTGATACCAACACAGTATAAAAACTGTAGTAGTAATTTTTACTACTCACGAGTCTGTTTTTGTGTAACTTCAACAGGGTATTTTGTATGCGTAAACTATAGACATTGGCAATGTGCTTCAGTGGCTTTGCTTGGCATTCTGCAGGAACTTCAAACAGAGCTGAACAAAGAAGATGAGCATCTGCTGCTTTGTTTGTAGGGTTCCAGGGACCTCCAGAGAAGGTGAGGAAGCTTGCCTCCACTGGAAGACCTGGACAACCTGGACTGGGCAATATTGAGCCCTGGTAACCTCGAGAAGAGGTGACCCCAGGTGGAATCTGCTGGCACTGATGTTGTTCCTGAAGCCTACATCAACTGGACATCGACTGTTCACTCTGATACTATGGACTGTTCCAACAAGGCCATCTAAAAATTGTTCTTTGGCTAGTCTACCCTGTGGTTTTATGCAAAAATAGAAATATGGTTAAATGTTAGCTTGAATTTGTAGATATGTTATACATTATTAGATTAAGTTGGAATCAAGGTTGAGAGAACTTGTTTTTACAAAAGTTAAACCAGTTTTTAAAGATTTTTGCTTGTTCCTGTTATTTTGTTATACATATATGAAAACATTTTTTGCGCTTCACCTAAATGATGGACTATTTTACAGTAATGAGCATTATCCTGGGCATTCATGAACACTGCTGGTGACTGCTGCTTCTTTTGCATATGCTGGAAACCTTACAGAGACTGGGAGTGTTAAGGAGACTGTCTATGAAGACTACACCCTGTGATCTGTGCCACCATAGATATGGTGGTATGAAATCAAAAGGGGGGAATTGTTAAGGGGAAGGATGTCCTAGAGGAACTCTGCAGAGTCTTATGGACTCCACCCTCTACTGCAGCTTTCTGTTATGGACTCCACTCCCTACTCCAGCTTTCTGGACCCTACATATTACTCCAGTGATTGAAAACTACAACTCCCAGCAGTACCAGGGAGAGAACTGCAGGACCCAAGGGCAGAGCTAGCAGGAATGGATTCTGGGACATTTTGGGGGGATAAATAAGGCGCGATTGCATCTTGCGCTCTCTTGGTCTCTTGCTCTGTCTCTGGCTCACTCTCGTGGGAAATAGCTCTCCGGACCGCGTGACTTGGTATATTCAGTCGGCCTAGCTGTAAGGTATTGCAATTACTTTGTTTTTGTATCCCGTTCTCTTTCCCTCAGTTGTTTCCTATTCCTTTCCCCTTTTTTAAATAAACCCATTATTGACCCTTTTGTGTGTACCTGCAGTTGTGAACACGTGGGTGAGGCCCCACAGATAGGCGGCCCAGTCCACTCTGGGCTACCCTGTAACAACATGAGGAGGGAGGCTAGGTACCTGGGGACACAGGGAGAGGCAAGCTGCAGTCCAAGTGCAACAGTATCTGCAGGCAGAAGTCATTCCTGCTTCTTGTAGGGCAGTTCATGACAGACTTCAACTGGTTAGCTGAGACCCAGCCATGGTAGGGAAAGTAATGTGCTTTATCCAAGGCCCACCAATTCAAACATGCATCTCATCCATAAAAACACCCTCATGAAAACATCAAGAACAATGTTCTGCCAAATAATGGGCACCGTGGCCCAGCCAAGTTGACCCATAAAATTAACCTTCATCCTATGTGTATTAGTTAAAACTTTAGAAATCAGTCCAATATTTACTGGCGGCATGACAATATTTGAAAATGTACTAAATTTATTGCCAGTGATAATTTATTACCTTAAAAATATTTGAAGCACAGACAAAACATTTCTTTTCTATTCCACCAAGGAAACTTCATTCTCAAATGTATAAACATTTTTCCTGTTCTGTTGTATGCAACTGCAGGGGCCTCACTCAAGGGCTCGCTTGGAGTCTAGGACCTCGTCCCTGGAAGTGATACAGAGTCTTCAATATCTCCAATTCTATTATTTAAATCCCAGATTCCCCACTCTTCCCAAACTCCAAAGGAGCTTGCCATGGAGAATGTGATGGCATGAGTTCCACACTCACAAAACTGCTAAATACCAAGGTCAGCATACTTACTGATATTTCTTGTACCCAGGCACTATTTCCCAAGCAACAGTAGCATTCCGCCTATAATGGAGGTCCAGATAGTTGATAGATAGCAGACAAAAACAATAGACCCTTAGCTCAGTAAAGTACAAGAAACCAGAAGAAAAAGAAACAAAGAAAAAATGTAAGAACAGTTTTTGAAACAAATGACGGTAAACAACTAGACATTCACTTGGAGGAAAACAATGAACCACTATCCTTCTCTCACCCAGGCACCTCTGGGTGGGCATGCTAACTCAAGCTGCACAGGTACATTGGACAGTTCCTGGGCCCATCCTGTCATTTAGCTTAAGGTCTACTAGGGAAGAATCACAGAACAAGTGGTCACCAGTCCAAGTGCCACGAGAAGTGCTGAATCAGAGGCGAGGCTTGAGAGGGCTGTGAGAGAAAGGCTGAGAAGGACTTTGAATGAAATGTTAAGGATTTGGGAGGTCATCCTGAAGGCATAAGAAGTAGAGTGGCAGGATCAGACTTACATTTTAGTAATAACTGATTTTACTGAGGCTTTACAAGGTGCCAGGCAATGTTTCAAGTACTTTACATGTATTAACTCATTTAATCCTCACAACAGCTCTAGGAAGGGATCAGATCTTCCTCAACTTATAGTGGGTTCCAGCCCATTAAGCCTACACAAGTTGAAAATACTGGATGTTGAAAATGCATTTCCTACACAAAACCTACTGAACATCATAGCTTGGCCTAACCTGCTTAAACATGCTCAGAGCTCTCACATCAGCCTGCAACTCGGCAAAATCCTCTAACACAAAGCCCACTTCATACTGAAGGATTGAATACTGACTAGTAGGCTAAAAGTGAAAAAGAGAACATCCTAACTCAAAATTTGAAGTAATTTCTACTGAATGCATACTGCTTTTACACCATAGCCAAGTTGAAAATTCATAGTCCAACCACAGTAAGTTGGGGACCAGCTACGTTTTTCCTATCTTACCTATGAGGAAAATGAGGCAGGGGGTTGAGTACGTGGGAGCTTGTGATCAAGTCAGCGTCCGTGTGCTTACTGACACATACCAGGCCCTCTGGAAGATTGCCCTAGTGGATAAAATCAGTGCTACTCAGAACAGAATGGTCTAGAAGGGCAGAACTGGCTATAAGAAGACCAGTTGGGAAGGTGTGGCAGCTGTCCAGGAAAGAGACGCTAGTGGTTACAGAGACAGAGAAATGTAGAGATGCAAAATATGTTTAGAATTAAAATGAATAGTTCTCAGCCTTGGCTACACATGGAATTACTTGGGGAAATTTAAACAACATGAACAACTAGGTCCTATTCCCTGAGGTTCTCATTATTTTGGTCTAGGCTTGGAAATTTTAATTTTTTATATTTCATAAAAAATATTTATTGGCCCTCCCTGGTGGTGCAGTAGGTTAAAGCACAGCACTAAGAAGCTAATGCCACTTCCGCATGAGTTCTATCCCCGCCTGCCCCGGAGGTGACCACATGGCCTGGCAGACCTCTCCTGACTGCCTGCCACTCCCCTCAGCAGTGTACCTCGTCAGTCGGCCTGTTCTGTTCCCCGCTCTGTCTCTGGTGAATCCTCTCACTGCCCCTGCACCTCTGGCTTGTACCCCTGCTCTCTATGCATAAAATAAAAAATTACTTATTAACCATTAGCTACAAAACTATATAAATTTGGGGGGCTGATCTTTACCTCTATGTGTCTAGCCGCACTGCACTCACCACCAAAGCACTAGTGCCTTCCTTGCATCAGGTTGATACCTCTTCCCTGAGTGGAGGAGGGAAGAAAGATCCCCCCTCCCCCTTGGTAACCATTGTGTTACTTCTACAGGACCTGAGTTATTCTTCTTGTGATTTGTAAATTCACTTTCATTGGTTATTTATACTCTACATAGGATAATTGTCTTTCACTTTCTGATTTATTTTTGCTTAGCATAATTACCTCTAGTTCCATCCATGTGCTTGCAAAAGGCAAGATCTCATCCATTTTAGCCAAAAGTATACACTGAAGAGAGAAAAGTCTCTTCAATAAATGGGAAAACTGAACAGCCATATGCAAAAGAGTGAAACTAGACCATTTTCTCACACCATATATGAAAATTAACTCAAAATGAATTAAAGACTTGGAGGTAAAGACCTGAAACCATAAGACACAAAGAGTAAAGCACGGGAGAAACAATCCATGACACTGGCTTCAGTGAAGTCTCTGTGGATTTGTCTCCAGTAGCAAAAGAATATGAACACTTGGGACTACATCCAACTAAAAAACTTGTTCATAGCAAAAGAAATTAGCACTAAAACAAATGGACACCCTACTGAATGGGAGAAAATATATGCACACCATATATCCGACAAGGGGCTGATATCCAAGATCTAGAAAGAACTCACACAAAAAGAGCAAGAGCAAGAGCAAGAACAAGAACTAGAACAAGAGCAAAATGGGGGGAAGAGCTAAATAGGCACTTCTCAAAGAAGACATGCAGATGGCCAACAGGAAAAGGGGAAAAAAAGTGCTCAAGGTCCTTATCATCAGGAAAGTGCAAATCAAAACCTCAATGAGATACCATCTCACACCTGTGGCAATGGCCCATGTCAAGAAATCCAGAAGCAAGTGTTGATGATGATGTGGAGAAAAAGGAATCCTGATACACTGTTTAGTGGGAATGTAGACTGCCCCGCCTATGTGGAAAACAGTATGAAAGTTTCTCAAAATATTAAAAATAGAGCTACCATATGATCCAGCAATTCCACTCCTAATATCTACCCGTAGAATGCAAAGACAGCAATTCAAAGGGATCTATGCACTCCGATGTTCACTATAGCACTATTTACTACAGCCAACTTCAGAGCAACCCAGTATCCAAAGAGTGTATCCCCACACACCCCTCTGCTGCTCTTTAGTGCTCTCTATTTAAGTTAATTTTCAGAAGCTTGGCTTGGCTATGTATAATGGAAGATTATTTGGCCAAAAAAGAAGGAAATCCTGACATCTGTTACAACTTGTGTGAACCTTGAGGGCATTTAGCAAAATTAAATAAGTTGGACAAAGAAAACCGAGGTAACTATGTGAGGTGATGGATGTGATAAGACAGAGAGAATGTGAGTGATTAGTTCAGTGTTGAAGATACTGAGTTGTTGATGCTTCTAAGTAAGTCAAATGGAGACATCCGGTAGAAGATTGAGTGGAACAAACTATTTGAAGCCAATACAAAGACTATGAAGGGACGTCCTGAGAATTACAAGAATCTAGGATTGTGCGTTGGCGTGAAGACAAAGGAAGAGAACACTGAAAAGGAGGGTGTGATCAGTGATGCTGCATGCTGCTAAAAGGCAGCGCACTGAAGGCTTGGAAGTTTCCTTTCACTTTAATAACAAAGCGACCGCTGGTGAGAGCAAATTCATGACGCTGGTTGGGTAAGGGAGCAGAAATAACACTGGTTGACAGAACAGTAAATACTAGTGAGAAAGTGTGTGCAATATCTTAAAAGAAGTTTGGCTCGAGAGAGGGGCAAGGCAGTAACCAGGCAGGGAGACACTTCACCAAGAGGGTCACCTTTAAAAGAAGATGAGGGCATGTTTAGTTGCTGATGGGAATAACGTGACAGAGAAGAGGAGATTCTAGAAGGAGGAAGAAAAAAGTCGGTATGGAGGGGATGCCACACCATGGCAGAAAGATGCTGTGCTAGCATGGGGAAAGGATGGAGACAAGGCTACAAACGTGGTGGTGGAGATTTGAAATGTGGTAGATGCGTGATGGCTTCTACGTTCCTTGAGAAGGGAGAAATGGGTGAATTGGTGGTGGGAAGTCCACGGAGATTATAACCGAAATGGAAAAGGGCACAAAATGAAGAATGATGTAAAATTAAGTTTTAAAAAATCAAATTAAAAAAAGAGAAGGGAGAGGCCCTCCCTGGTGGCGCAGCGGGTTAAAGCACAGCATTGAGAATCTAAAACCACTTCCCCGTGAGTTCGATTCCCGGCTGCCCCGGAGGTGACCACATGGCGCGGCAGACCTCTCCTGACCCGCCTGCTGCTCCCCTCAGCAGTGTACTTCGTGGATCTGCCTGTCCTGTTCCCCGCTCTGTCTCTGGTGAAGCCTCTGACTGCCTCTGAGCCTCTGGCCTGTACCCCAATTCTGTATGTACAAATAAATAAATCTTTAAAAAAAAAAAAAGAGAGAGAAGGGAGAAATGAAATCACCTGAGTCAAGATGGAGTTGAGGGGTAGGATCAGAGTTTTGAGGAAAGTAGAAAATATTTCAAATTGTATTCAGAATGGGCAATCTATGCATTGCTAGGCTAGGTCTGAAGGACCAGTTGAGGAGAATAATCATGAATCCAGAGTGGAATGATATTACTATGGTGTGTGATTTTTTTGGCACTACTCAGCCATCCCAGGAGAGGTATAAAGTGGACAATTTTGAGTTCATCCAGGTTTGGCAAGCACAGAACTGGCAGTTGACAGTGAGTGCCTCCTCATACTTGGAGGGAGGGGCAGAACACAGGGAGGCAGGACCCCCTTATTTCACCCTAGCCCCAGCCCACATGAATTCGGTATATTGGCAATGGGATCATGGGGAAAGATTAGAGAATAATTAGGCAGCAGGAGCGATTGACTGACTAAGCTAGAATCTTGAAAGTTCTAACCAGGAAGGAGTAGCTGAACTTGTCATCTTAGAGTGGAAGAAATTTGGGGTGCCGGAAATTCCCAGAGATGGGAGATGGGAAATGTGGAAAGCTGAAGTGGAGTTCAGGCACTTCAATATCAATGTGCTAGCTGGCTGTTCTCATGACTGTTTACTTCAGTCAGAAAGTAAGGTAAAGGGTCTCCCTAGTGGCACAGGGGTTAAGGTCTCAGTGCTGTCAAGCTATCACAGCTATCAGAAGCCACTGCAACATGAGTTCCATCCCAGGCCAGGAGGTGACCCACAGGGCACAGCAGACCTCTCCTGTCTCCCGGCTGCTACCCTCAGCAGTGGATTTCAGTGGACCCAGCTGTTCTGCTCCCCACTTTCCCTCTGGTGAATCCTCTCACCCCCTGCACGTCTGACCTACACCCCAGTTCTTCTGTGCATAAATAAATAATTTTCTTTAATTATGGTAAGATTCAGGATGAGAGGAACAATGAGCCAACTGCCAAGGTCATTGGTGAATACACAAAAGTATGTACACAAGTATGGGAGCAAGAAGAAAGGCTAAAGAACAGCTAAACTGACCAGCAAGAGTCTCAGGGTGCAGGGGGGTTCTGACTGGTGTTTTTGTCTAGGAGCGGGTGGTGGAGCAATAGCTTAGGTGACTGCAGAGAAGATACTGGTCGTGCTGTCGCCACGAAGAGCAGGAACACACTGCAGCCAGTACAAGCAGCAGCTGTGACTGAATCTTCCTGGACCAATCAGGTTTCACTTACAGCCTCATAAAAGGGCTGCATTTGTAGGCAAACTTGTTAAACGCGCAACACGAATCCCAGAGGATTTGAAGTGACAGACTAGGCTTAGTAGAATCATCTGGTTCCCAGTGTCTATGATACAGTGAGCCCCAGCGAATGTCACAGAGGATGGTGGCCACCTGAACCTCAAGCACTGTGTTCTGGCCTACACGCGACACCCTGAAGCTACCCATGGGGCTCACATCTTTGTTTTCATTTTCTTCTTTCTCATGGTCTTCAGGGTGGGATAGCAGTGAGTGGTGAAAGGGAAAACCTTGCTGTGACTTCATTTCCTCGATACCTTCTCTTCAGGCCAGTTGCGAACAATATGAAAATAATAGCAATAATGACTGTACACTTAGAAAACACGTATTGAGTGCCTGCCATGTGCAAGGCACGCTCCTGGGTACCAGAAACAGTTCACATAGAGGCCACACAGAGCGCTTCATAGAGGGGCGGCAAATGAAGACTTATGCAAGGCCTGCCATTTTAAAATATGATTTTCTCTCTCTCTTCCTATATGTGTTTGTGTGTATGTTATATATATTGTATATATGAGAGAGAATATACATACAGGGAGAGAGAACAAGCATGCACTTTTTTTTTTAGGTATAAAAAAGGTTTTTAAAAGTTTTTCTGACTGTCCTCTGCACAGTCTTCACTAAAGTAAGTAACAAGTAAACTCTTCACTGTTGGGAAGCAAACACAATGCCCTAATTGTCAGTCTGATGACTAGTGTGCGTCAAAGAATAAAGTGCAACTGCACTTGCAGCTCTGGGAATTGTTCCTTGTTTATTTTCTGAAAAGAAAGTGCTGGAACTTCCTGGAAGGAGCCCACATCTATCCTTGGTTCTGCAGCTACCCCACTCCTAAACCCGTCCAGAACTTTGTGTCGACACGCTCGGAGGAGGAAAACAATTTCTGACGGTCCTTCAAACCCAGGCTCCGGAAACTCCTGACAGCTGATGCTCAGTTCACGCTGCTCAAAGTCCTCACTGGAGTTCAGAGGTCCCTCAAGCTACTCTACTTCCACAACTGGCTACTATTTGTATTCTAGCAAGATTCTCCCTAAACATCTGACTCAAATAGACATAACCATTTTTAATATCTTCAAGAACGTTAAACATAAAGTTGCCATATATGTGTACAAAGTCCTAGCTTTGGGCTAGTCTTGAGAAGATATGCTGTTCAGCCAGGTCTGCTTCAGGAAACCCAGCTTCTCATTTTCCCTTCCTACTTTCTTGAATTCTGTCCTTCACCATTGTGTCCAAGGCCTTACCTTCTGCGTGTATTATCTTGATTTCATTATCCATTTCAGGAATGTTTGCACTCGAAGGGAGCTGGTGGCTGGGAGGGTCCAGCAGAAGAAAATCATCTCGTGACATGTGCCTGAAAATTAAGGGGTACCCCTTCTATAAGCGGATGGGAAGGGTAACTCCACTGTATTTCCTCATCCAGGATGTCTGCAAAGGGGCTGATCACCCCTCCTCGGAAGGCTGAACCCAACTTACAAACCAAATCACACTCCAAAGTTCCAGAACGAGTTCTCATGCCAATTCCAGGATAAAGAGTCTGGGAGATAGCGTTAGGGAACCTATGAGTATTAGCATGTCTTATGTTTAAAACAGAGCAATTTCTCTCCAGGCTTCAAAATGATCAAACACATCAGGAAGAGAGGTAACACAGCAGTACAAATCTATTGCCCAACAAGAAGTTCCAGCAGGGAATAAGGAGGGTCACTGGCCTTCGTTTCCAGAAGGTTCTAGCTAGTTAGTAGCTCCTCAGATCCGCGTTTCATCAGGAGTGGTATTTTGAAGAGCAGCTCGTAGTTATTGCCACATCTTTTTCAAGTTATTCTGTATGTACCAAAATTTTTTATAACAACATTATGAGGTACTGTTACCATTCCCCTTTTATACATGAAGACACTAAGGCTCAGAGATATCAACCTACCCAAGCCAGAGCCTCAAGTTATGCCAACTTTCCATACCACCATTTGTTCGGACTCCAACCAAGCTCATAAGTATTCCATTAAGTTGGGGCACTCTGACTGCAGAGCTGGTAAATGGGATCTCTGGACGCTTCCTCCTCTGCCATTGTCTCCCCCTGGCCTAATGCCCCCCTCAGCAGACCTCATTCTGCAGTTCCTCTGGCAATCTCATACCCCTCAGTTCATGGCTCTCCCTTGCACTCACCCCACCCTGGGTTCACCTGGCAATTTGATAAGCCAACTCTCTGCTGCCCCCTTCTGGCCAACCCAGAGTCTGTCCCGGTGGCAGCTGAGATGAACTGCACCTCCTTATTTGGGACCTAATCCTAGCATGCCCAGCTAACCAGCAGTTCTAGGAATAAGGGGGATTCCCCTGACTAGCTCACACTTGACTTTGTCAAAGTTGTCCCAGACTCGGACACTGCCGCCTGTTTCAGAAGTTGTACATTTCTACAACCCTGTTATCTTGATCATGAAATGTCAAGGTGACCAAGTGGATGGGGTCAAGGATTTCCCTCCCCATCAACACTGAAACATGGAAATTACTTGCTGGTGAATTTCAGGACTTGCTGAAAAAATGAAAGACTCTCAAAGAAACGTGGCTGTGTCTAGATGCCATGCTGAGAAGGGCTGAGGGAAACCCTTCGGCAAATCCCGAAAACAGAGAGGAGCTCTTCCCCAGTCTCTTGTCCCCGGGACAACAGGCAATGAGAGGATGCCTGTGCCATTGCGGGGACACTGATCTGGACACAGTGCCCTTGCCTAGGAAGCACTCGGTATTTTCGCCTGTTCAAAATGAAGTCCTCAGCACAGTCAGCCTTGACACGGTCAGGGGCTTCCCCGGCAGCTAAGACAGCCAACTCAGCAGAAAGAGATTTCTATGTGAAAGGACCTGTAACGAGCACTGGAGCAGGAGTCGGGGGACCTGGGACCTGGGTTCTAGTTCCAGCATCACACCTAATCACTGTTTGCCCAAGTAAGAGAACAGTTAGGGGCCCTCCCTGGTGGCGCCACGGGTTAGGGCGCTGCACTGCAAGCTAGCACAGCTGCTGCAGTGCGATTCCGATCCCCTGCCCCGGAGGTGACCCCATGGCGCAGCAGACCTCTCCTGACCCGCCCGCTGCTCCCCTCAGCAGTGTACTTCGTCGATCTGCCTGTTCTGCTCCCCGCTCTGTCTCTGGTGAAGCCTCTCACCGCCCCTGAGCCTCTGGCCTGTACCCCAGTTCTGTATGAACAAATAAATAAATCTTTTTTGTACCCCAGTTCTGTATGAATAAATAAATAAATCTTAAAAAAAAAAGATTTATTTATTTGTTCATACAGAACTGGGGTACAGGCCGGAGGCGCAGGGGCGGCGAGAGGCTTCACCAGAGACAGAGCGGGGAGCAGAACAGGTTGACTGAGAAAGTACAAGCTGTCCTGTACTACTAAATTTCTTTTTTTAAGCTTTATTTATGCATACAGAACTGGGGTACAGGCCGGAGGCGCAGGGGCGGCGAGAGGCTTCACCAGAGACAGAGTGGGGAGCAGAACAGGTTGACTGAGAAAGTACAAGCTGTCCTGTACTACTAAATTTCTTTTTTTAAGCTTTATTTATGCATACAGAACTGGGGTACAGGCCGGAGGCGCAGGGGCGGCGAGAGGCTTCACCAGAGACAGAGTGGGGAGCAGAACAGGTTGACTGAGAAAGTACACTGCTGGGGGAAGCAGCGGGCGGGTAAAGAGAGGTCTGCTGCACCATGTGGGTCACCTCCACAGGCGGGAATCGAACTCATACTGAAGTGGCTTTAGCTTCTCAGTGCTGTGCTTTAACCTGCTGTGCCACCAGGGAGGGCCTGAGTAAATAATCTTTTTAAAAAATGTTTAAAAAAAAAAAAATAACAGTTAGGACTGTGATAGCAGATGCCCAACTACGGAAGCCAGAGGGTCACAAAGTTTCAGATCATCGTGAAAATATAGAACTTTCTTACAAGCTGGAATCATCTAACCAAGGAACCATTCAGGAAGCAATGAGGTCCCTGTTACTGGAAGGGCTCAAGCTGTAGCTGGGCCACTTTGAAACAGAAATTATTTCATCAGCCGAAAAATTGGAAGCGATGATTTCTAAGGCTTTATAAGTACTCGGCACTCAATGCCTGGCACTTAGATACCCAGGAAAAGTTTGTGGTAGCAAGAGGAGAGGTGAGGGAGACATAACTGGATCTCTTGCTCAATGGAATATGATGGGCTATATAACTTCCTAAAAATCGCAGCCACACATAAAAACTTTTTAAACTTTTGCACTGAAAGAATATTACAGCTTGACTTCAGCCTGCATTTCCACTCTGCTTTTGTGAGGAGACATTTGCATAGTCATTAAAAGCAGACTTAAGGAAAGAACTCTATCTCTCTATCCTCACAGATCTTCCAAAGCTTCCATTCCCTCATGACTCCTCATCAATTCTTTGTTGGGGATGTCCAAGAATACAGAATTCCATGCTCAACTATCCCAGATGTGATTTGCTGGAGTTTACTCCTATAACAGCTTTCAAAGCCTACTGAAAGTCCAAAATAGCAGAGAATGATGGAATTTTCTGGAGTTCTCCAGAAACAGATGGTCTCAAGCATGAAATTTCTGCTCTAGGTAGCATTTTCTTTGGAAAATAAATGCAATTTTACTTAAAATAAAATTGTACCATGAAGACGCTATGAGTATAATGGTGGCCCTGTGAAGAGTAATCAATGCTCAACTGTATTAGGTAAGACTTGTTTTTGTGTGATATGAAAGAACAATGCTAGATCACGCTTACTGAGTGCTTACCATCTGCCAGGTTGCCACACTAAAGCCCATTTAAATCTTATCAAGCCCATGAGGTAGTCCCTCTTAGTTTAGAAAAGGCAGGCAATCTGCTCAAGACCTCAGAATCAGGTAATGCACCTGTGTGTACAGAGTGTGCATGCACGCAAGCACGTGTCTGACTCAAAAGCTTGTGCTGCTATCTGTCCACTTTATATGTACCTGTATTTTTCTTGCTGATAATAATGAAATTGTTTCAGATAGGTAATACGTTCATATGGTACACAATGCAAAAAAGTTTTTTTTTTTTAGTTTATTTTTACATCATTTTGTGCCTTTTTCCATCTCAGTTGTAATCCCTGTGGGTTTCCCATCACCACCAAATCACCCGTGTGCCATCACCACAGTCCAATGCACTTCCCTCCCCCTCCACCCTGTTTTTGATCCCATTCCCCACTTCACCCCATAAAATGTCTCTGATAAATAGCTGTTCATTATTATTGTTTTTTTCTCACCTGGTCCGTTATACTCCTGCTATGAGTGAAACCATCTGGTATTTTTCCTTTTCTTTCTGGCTTATTTCACTAAGCATTATCTTTTCCAGCTCCATCCATGTTGCTGCAAAATGTGTTTTTGTTTCTGTTTTTGTTTTTTTTTTCCGGTTGCTGAGTAATATTCCATTGTGTATATGTACCACATCCTTTTAATCCAGTCATCCACTTTTGGACATTTGGGTTGTTTCCATGTCTTTCCGGTTGTAAATAAAGCAGCAATAAACATGGGGGTGCAGTTATCTTTTTGAATCAGTGTCTTTGTGCCTTTTGGGTAGATATCTAGGAGTGGGATTGCTGGGTCATATGGAAGCTCCATGTTTAGCAGTTTGAGGAACCTCCAAACAGTTTTCCATAGTGGTTGTACTAGTTTGCATTCCCACCAGTGATGCAGGAGAGTTCCTGTTTCTCCACATCCTTGCCAACATTTGTTGTTGCTAGTTGTTTGAAGATGTGCCATTCTCACTGGGGTGAGGTGGTATCTCATCGTGGTTTTAATTTGCATATCCCTTGTTACGAGTGATGCTGAACATTTTTTCATGTTTGTTGGCCATCTGCATTTCCACTTTGGAGAAGTGTCTTTTTAGCTCTTCTGCCCATTTGTTGATGGGGTTGTTTATTTTTGTTGAGTTTCATCAGTTCTTTGTATATCTTTATGATCAATCCTTTATCGCTAGTTTTGTGTGAGAAAAATTTTTCCCCATCAGTGGGATGTCTGTTTTTTTGTAATGTCTCTTTTGCTGTACAGAAGCTCGCAAAAGATTTTTTTTAATCTGATAAAAAGTAAGTCTAAAACAGTCTTCTTCGCACTCCCAGACACCCACCCAGGAGACAACCACTGTTAATGGTTGCTTTCCAAATAAGTATTTTCTAAAATTTTGAAGAAACCTATGGTTTCCCACTGTGTGGTCTCGTAGCCCATGTAAACCCTGAGCCGGTTACTATTGATTTCTACTCTGATTTTTAAATGTTTCTGTGTAAAGCATTCTTCAGAACTGATCACATAGGAAACATGATAAAAAGTGCATTGCAAATGCTTGTCAGACATTAATTGTTCAATTTAACTAATCATGCTTAGTGATATAGTATATTCTAATTCTTTTACATTTTCTATTTCAATGATGTAACTTCTTTTTACAATAAGATGGAACATCTGTCTGATGAAAAATGGGCCATTATTATTCATTTTAAGCCACGAAACATCGTTCAACAGCTCTGAACTAATGGTTATTACATCAAATAGATTTTCCTTTAATCATTATTTCTACTACATGTGAAATTAATACAGTGTTTGTCATTACTGAGCACTAGAATATAATTCTAGAAGAAGCAATTAATGTCTATCAGAAGTTTTTTTAAATATGATTATCAAATTCTTGACTAATGAGTCATTTGCATATCTGAATTATAACCTAAACATTAAGCACTCTTGTGATAGGATGCAGTAGGCTTAATAATGAAAAAAAGAGAGAAGAGAGAGATTTCAGATATTAAGTTATATACATTGTCCACTTCCCTGCCAGCTCAGAATTTTTTCTGAGGAGAATTCATTTTTGAAAGGACAGTTAGACAGTTGGGGAAGGCTCTTCTGGGGCTTTCCCAGGAACTGAAGTTTTCTTTTCTCTTATTTCTTTCATTTAGTTAGTGTTTTTTTTTTTTTTAAAGGAAGGTAGTTTAGAGGGCCTGAATCTCAATTTAACAAAAACTCGTGGTTAACTGTCCAAATCAATGTCTAGACAGAAAAATGCCATTCGCTTCCCAGGGTGCTGGTAAACTCTCCCGCCACAGGGCCAAAGCTCAAGGCACAGTCTACCCACTGCGGTGTGTTGCGCGGTCACCTTAAGGAGCATATGCTGCTCTTTTGAAATATGCAGACTCCCCCCTCATTGTACAGGGCCTCTGTGAAAAGATGGAGGGCTCTATTAAATTAACATATGAATAGATTAACATACCTCCCAAGAAGCCCCTCCATGGGGGTGGGGGGTACAAAAGGAGGCCATCCTTTGATTCATTTTGTAGTTAATGAACAGTAAGAGGACCCTTTCGGACCAATTTTCTGGGGGACTCAATTTAAACTTAAAATGTGGACTGTAGAAAATATCCTTTTAAGTCTGGGTGTTCTGCTCTTTCGTCCTTCATAACCAACCCCGCACAGTGGCCAAGGCAAGTGTGTAAGAGCTGAAATGAGTAATTGCTGTTATGAGTATTAATCCTTGAAAGCTGATAAAGTGGCTTGTCACGGTTCTTGCCCAATGGCTGCTCGAGTGTGATCACTTTAGCAAAAGTGCCTCACCTGGAAAAGGTGGGCTCACAGGACCAGGTGTGGTCAGTGTTCTAGAGAGGAGGTGGCCAAGAGGCTGTCATGCTAGCGTTTGAGTGCAGCCCAGCCTTGGAAGGAGGATGGAAACCAGGAGCTCGGTCCAAAGGCTGAGACGAGAATGAGCAGGATGAGTGCTAGCAGAGGTGGACGTGGCGCTCAAGACCCTTTATTGAGGAGACCGGGCGCTTGCTGCTCTGGTCAGCTCAAGTACAGGACTCCATCGATCTTCCCTACCTGGAGACATGAGAGGGTGTCACTCCCTCTGGCTGCCACCTTCCCTGATCTCCGTGTCTGGTGTAGGTGCCCTTCTCTGTCCTGCCGTATTCCACAGACACATCTGCATTCTATCTCCTCCATCAGGGTGTCGAAGCTCCGCGAGGCCCACAGGCACGGCCATGTTGCTCTTTGCCTTGTCGAGTCTACAGTCCGATGCCACGCACACAGCTGATGCTCAGTAGGCACAAGCCGAGTGATGAGAAGTCTGGTTCTCGGTGGAAACTACCCACGCCATTGCCGCCGCTGAAGCAGCTGGGTCCGGAAACCTGGCGAGGAGTTGCACAGGACAGGTGTCCAGATCGTCCCTGTCCATGGAGCACCCTCTGTTGGAGCGGATCCCCACCAATTGGGTTCAGCAGTGGCGTTTTCTGCTGAGCTGCACTGCAAGCCAGGGTGTCGTTGGAGTTAGAGTGCAGGAAATCAGATGGGAAGCAGAAGCGGCTGAGAGTGGAAGAGTGGGGTAAGAAGCCACTGGCGGCACGAGTGGAGCGATCCCGTGAAACCAAACCAGCGACAACACGAGGTTGAAAACAGGTGTAAGCGAGAGGTCAGCAAACTGTGTTCTGCGGGCCAAATACAGTGTTGAGCCTATTTTTGTGTACACTGTGATCTTTTGCATTGCTTTTGCATTGCTCATTGGAAAGAGACCAGAAAGAGGAGGTCAGGAGGTGGGAGAGGAAGGACAAAGGAAGAGGAAGAAGCAGAAGCCACAGAGACAGTATGTGGTCCACAAAGCCTAGAACATTTGCTACCTAGTCCTTTATGGCCAAAGCTTGTGGGTCGCGAATTTAAGTCAGTGAAAGCATGAGAACACAAGCAAATCCATCCGCAATCACAGGTGAGCATACACCATGTGCAGACACGAGTGTGCTGTGACAATGGATTACTATCTATTGTGTTAGCTTGAAAGTATCGAAGGTGCTCTGATGCCCCATGAACTTTTGAAAATGGAAACCAACCATTTATATTAGTTGGCAATTAGGTAGCCATGAGCATGTTTGTAGTATACTATTTCCATGTATTTTTTTAAGACCATTTTTTTTTCCTTCTCCAACCTCTCAAAGATCTGTACCTCATCCAGCCTCTGCCGTAATCATTCTGTTTGCCCTCGGACCTTTGCCTAATTATGAGAATTTTGCACCTCCAGAGAAGAGACTGCATAATGTGAATATATTTGAAAGATAATAACTTTGATTTGATCTCATTCAGTAATGTTCTTTGCAATACAGTCAGAGAATGCTTCAGAGCAGGAGGATATTTTAGAGATCATATCATCCAACCCTCTTGTTTTATTGAGAAGAAAACGGAAATTAAGTAATTTAGGTAAGGTTTAAAATAAAAATCCGGTTCAGGCAGAGCCACAGAGATCCTGGTTCAAGCTTTCTCAATCTGCTGCTTCCACATGGTACCCTCTTCCCAAATCCCTAGAGGGCTGATGTCTGTTTCACTCAGTCGCCGGAAGAGCCCACCACCTGGCACATCACTGTGACTCCCAAAGGAAAGCAGTAAGTGAATGGGTAGTAATCACAGCTAGCACTGACTTCACCTTACCATGTGCCAGGCACATGCCGAACACACACACCATCTCACTTTACACGCTCAACCACCTTACGAGTATTCCTTTGTTCTTTTTCCTATCCCCATGTAAAGGCACAGAGAGGAAGGAAGAGAATCAGGAAAAGAGGTGCAGAGAGGTTCAGCGACCTCCTACGGCTAGGAAGATGTAGAGTGAGACTTGGAATCCAGCTCTTTCCAACACCACAGCCAGCGTTTCTAATCACTAGCCTCACTGTGCAGTGAGGGCCAATGAAGACATCAATTTGATACTATGCTGAGATGCTAAGCCTGTGCACTTACTTGCACGTAACAAAACATAACTTCCTACCCTGCCTTTACTCAGCAAATCGGGTCTAGTGAACCGGAACCCTCAGTCTGTTTTTCCGGCCTTTGCCCCTATTCCCTACGTGACCTCACACAATCAGGTAATCTCTCGAGTTCCCTGATTTTACCAGCCTATGACCATTCTGTTCCTTCTGACACCCCAGGGTGTCTACGATTATCACAGAGGGGTTTCGCAAGATTCTCAAAACTAATTCTAAACATAAGCCTTTAACAAAATAAATGATTTACAAAACCTTCAGGAGGCAAGAAGGAATTTCCTTCCAACAAAACAAAATATAAAAATATGGCCAGTTTTTATAGCCTCCGTCTGAGCTAGATGTTAAGGGATGCAGTGCCACCTGCTGGACATAAAGCGCACTACTAATAACAGTGATTAGGTATTGGTAACAGGATGTACCGGCTGTGGCATTTTTTATGATCTGTCTAAACGCCTGTTTTTAAAAATAAAAAAATATATGGCTAATGTATGAAATTTGTGAAACAAAATTTACCATGGATAATATAAGCATGACCTCACCTCTGAGATACCTATGACATGAACAGTTTTTTCGTTTCTATACATCTATATCTCTTTTTACACAAGTGAGAACATATGTACAGTGATGGCTTTTATACTTCTAAACACTATGCAAGTAGTATTTTCCACGTCATCTAACAATCGTCATAGGCACAGCTTTTAATCGCTGCATAATATTCTATGTAAGATGATAGAATAATTTATGTCTGCATGCCCACTGACATTTTGGTTGACTGACAATTTGGTTATAATAAATGAGCATCTCTGTGCATAAATTTTGCCCAGACCTCAGCTTATTTCCTGGGAGTGATCGTTGCCAATTGTGGAACTGCAGGTCAAAGGGCAGGGCTATATTTTAGCTCCTGAAGCATATAGCCAAATCGCTTTCCAAAGGGCTACATGAGTTTACCCCCATCATCTGCCCTTCTTAAGGCCCCCGAGCTAACATGGAGTGTTGTCTTGTTTCCATCTTTGCTAATTAATAGGTGAAAATTGGTGTCTTGTCCATTAGCATTTTTGATTACTAGTGCAGGTGAACGTTTATTCATATGTTTATTAGCCATTCACATTTCCTCTTTGGTGACTTGTTCATTAATGTCATTTTCCCACCAAGAGCCTTTGTATTTTCTTATTATTTTGTATGTGCTCTTTAGATAATAGACACTTTTTCCTCTTGTGTATGGCAAATATTTTTCCAATCATGTTTTCGTGTTAGGTTTGACATGCAGAGCTTTTCATTTCACATTGTCAAAAGCATATTGTTAAATAATAGTTTATTTTTACATCATTCTGTGCATTTTCCCATCTCAGTTGTCATCCCCACGGGCTTCCCACCACCAATTCACCCGTGTGCTATCACCAGAGTCCAGTGCACTCCCTCCCCCCCCCATTTCTGATCCCATCCCCACTCCACCCCCATAAAATGTCTCTGGTCTATGGCTGTTCATTATTCTTGTTATTTTCTTGCCTGGTCCGTTATACTCCTGCTATGAGCGAAACCATCCGGTATTTTTCCTTTTCTTTACATTGTCAAGTATTTTAATAGTTTCTTTCATGCTTTTCTCTTACTGATTTTAACCTTAGCCACCCTTCTGGATAAAGCAGTATGATGACTATTCACGTTTTTATGGTTTCCAGGTTTTCCCCACATTTGCAGAGTTTCCGTGTTTCGACTTGTGTGGAATTCAGTTTCCATGTGAGACATGACACATGCAGCCATATTTTTAAGTTCACCAGTTCCTGAGTAGCTCATTCCTGCTTTAGTGAATGGTTACATTAGCACCAGCTCAGCACAGAGTAACAATTATCCAGGGGTTCACATTGGGCAGTAAACAAACAGATTCCAGAGTATTGGGAGATGCTAGAGGCAGTTTAAGAATTTGGAGCCGATAATTGATGTGACCAGATCGGCCTTGTTAAAACAAGGTGACTGAGGGAGGGGCCAGCAGGAGGGAAGCTTGGCAGTGGCGGTGCCAGTCAGATGGCTGTTCTGCTGCCAGTCCTATAGGCACCCTCCTCTCAGCCTTGTATGTTTGTCTGTTCTCATGTCATCTTTCTAGTAACTGTGGCATATCCTGGGCACTGCACTTTACATACGCTATTTCATGAATGTGCCTCAAATTTCCACGGGGAGTAGGTAGTTGTGACCCCCTTTCACAGAGAAGAAACTGATTCCAGAGAAGAAAAAGCCAGAGCAGTTGCTCAAGGTCCCACAGCTAGTGAGTCAGACAAGGCTAGGATCAAACCTAAGGCACTGGGGGGAAATTAAATGAACATAAAACACCTAAAAGAGTGCCCGGCTTGCTAAATGGCAGCTTACCCCCTCATCCATCATCAGGTCTTATGAACTTGAACCTTTATTTAAAAAGGTTCATTTAAAAAGGTTTATTTAAAAAGACGTGTGTCTCTGACATTTCTGTAAACTAAACCCAGCATGGCGGTCAGGAAGCCTGGCCTCTAGTTCATCTAGAGTTAAGAGTCGGGTGACCTTGGGTAAGTCACTAGACCACAGATGTCCCCGTCTGCATAACAACAACAACAACGACGACGACGATGACGCACAATCATGTCCCTCCCAGGGTGTTTAAAAAAAAAAAGGAGCAAATCTGAAATGGATGGAAATTTTGCAATTCTACATAATTTTATAGCTGTCCCAAGTAACCTATGAAACATCCTCGGCCATGAAAATACCGATGGAAGCAAATTGCAACGGTCCACAGCAAGTCTACAATGAATGTGATCTTTTTGTTTTGATTTGTTTTGTTCTTATTTTTCATTGTCATTTCAAACATACACAAAAGTGGAGAGAACAGAGTAATGAGCCCCTATGGCCACTTGCAGTGCCCAGCACCACCTCCTTGTTTGATATAGCATCCAAATTTTTTACTATTCTGGGTATTTTTTTTTTGATGATGTCAAAAATGAGGGAGTTTTATTTGGTTTTCTCAGATCCTAATTTATTTTTTTTTTCAAAAGTGAAGTTTTATAAAACATGACAAAATCCAAGCTGATATTGATTGCATTTGGGTTTCTCTGCTCTTAACATGTCTCATAACAATGGCTCCGCAATCTAAATAATGCATTGATTTGTCAGTCCAGACCCAGGGCTAATGAGTTCCACTTGTCAATGGAAGATGAGATAGTGGGGGGTTCCAGCTAGTCCGTACAGAGGGCAACCTTTCATTTCTATAATAACAGTATTC